GTTTGGTTTTCAAATTATTGGGGAATTAGGAACATTAGTATCAGGGCAGGGGTTGTTTCTGTGGCTAGTTATATCCTCAGTGGGTTACTGAACTTCAAGACAGACCGTACTTTGCACTGAGGCATACACTCCAGTAGTTAGCAGGCAATAACTATCATTAAGCCCAATTTGGTTTCTCTACTTTCTATTTAATGACTGAGAAGCCACGATGGATACACGAGAAGACCTTTTTGTAAAATCAAATCCCCTGATGACTACATAATTGTAATAGGAACCGAGAGCAGTGTGTGGTTATAGAAGAATGAAGACGAATGAGTTCTGGAGAGAAATGGGAGGCCAGAACATATAAAGTAATAAAAGGAAAATTAATTTTTGAACAGAGTTACCATAACAGATATTTCCCCTTGATTTTTCTTCCTATTGTTTTAAGTTATATTAAAGGCAGAAGAAGAAGAAGAAGCTACTTCATTAGACCAAATATAGCTCACTGGGGGACACTGTACAAAAACCATGAGCAGTAGTCCATAATTTTTTTATATTTTGCTGGAAAAACAAGGAATTGTTTCACTGGCTTATTGAAACATGTGCCAGCATATGTATACAGCCATCTTTATTCTTCAGTACAGACTGAACTCTCAGAGGGAAACTTTCCTGTAGTCTTCAGGAATACCCCCAACCCCCCAGAACATTTAAATCTCTTGGCTGCCTTTTGTTCCCAGACTGTTCTAGTTAATGTCAGGGTCCAGGCTCTGGGCAGGCTGGTCTACGACTGATAGTGTTGCTTAGTTTTTCTGCCCAGATCCCCAACATCACCTTTGACAAGGTCCCCAACGCCACTTGCTGAAATGAAGCTGCAAACCATGTCAGAGCCTCTGCTGTGTTTAACAGATGATTGTAGACACTCTTGTACCTCCTTTGTACATATTGACAATGAAACAGACAAAATAAACTCAGCTATGTTCCTGCTCCTGCCCTGCATTTGTGTTGGATTTCATTGTTGTTTTAGTTCATTCCTGTATTCAGAGTCCTGCATCAGGGTCTGTTATTTTGCCTGCTATAACTGTCATATGTCAAGAAGAGCTTCTTGACAGCCACCCTTCCACCATTTCTAATGAGGCTTCGGTGAACAGTAGATGGATCAATTGAAGGGCCAAATGCATCTCTCAGGGTTGGTGTCGGTGTCTTGTGCTATTTTCTAAGGACATCACTTTGACATACTGTTCATTTGCTCTTTTAGGCCTGCCACTTTTTCTTTTGTCCTCCACTTATGCACTTTAATCATTTTGTTACCGACACACTGCACACTAAATAATCTAAATATTCCAAATCAGCGGTCCCCAACCCCCGGGCGTTTGGTACCGGGCCGCGAGAGTTGAGGCTCGGGTGTGAAATGTATGGTTTTCAGGGTTTTTATCAGTTTTTTGTTATTGTTTTTATCGTTAACTCTGTTTTCCTCGGTCTTTTCACGTGTGTTATGAATAAATCTTCTTTTTTCGGTACCGGTACTAGTTTTATTTTGTTGTATTTATCTGCGACACCTTAAAGGCCGGTCCCTGAAAATATTGTCGGGCATAAACCGGTCCGTGGCGCAAAAAAGGTTGGGGGCCGCGATCTAAATAGCAAAAACACTATTTTATGCTAATTAACCATGTTGTTTTTCGCATCTTTTAATAAATTCAACTAAAGAAGTAGCAAGAAATTATATATTTTTGGGATGGGTTCTTGTTTCTTGTGCCTGAAATTTATAATCTAGAACTGGTTTGTTGCTAACATGTTTATTAGGTGTAAGCACAACACTGGCTCATCCCTTGAGTTAGGTGCCTTTTTTCTTCTTGAATGATTCACAGGTCAGTGTTAAGAGGCTTAAAAAGCAAAAACATTCCTCTGAAAGTGGTCAGATAGAAAGACTGGAAAAACTGAAAATGAGTGAAAAAGCAGACAATGACCAAGATAAACTAAAGCTTCACAAAAACACCAACGTGTGTGAGGGACATTTTTGTTGTGTAATAGGATTAAATCCATTTAAAGCCATGACAGAGTGCAGCTTGTCATGTTGAAATACCAGAACAAGTTATTTTTTCATTTCCTATTAATTGCAAGGTAACAATTTTTTTAATACAATACCAAGTCCAGACCTACTTTCTTTTTTTAAAATTTGTTTTATTTACGTGACACTTTAGATACAAACATTTATGCTAAATTACTATATTAAAGCCACCTATAGACCTTAACTCTAATTGCTGAATCAGATTTCTTTCTAAGCACTTTTGCACTTCCGTGTTTGCTTACATTTTGTTGTCCTGTCCGTTGTTTCAACTTTGAACATTAGTTTTTAAGCCTTTAAGCTTTTAAAATGTGAATAATGGTTTACTTGCATCAGGGATTTCTATTGAGGGAAGATCCTCAACGACCACGGCAAAAAGCAGCAATAAAATGTTATTTCTTTTTAATTATCCTTTAACAGCTTAATAATGTTTTTGTAAATTAATTCCTCATTGAGAGTGGGCTATGTTTCCCAGAGAGCCTCCTCACTGCTTTAATAGGCACTATAAGCCTGAAAAGCATCAAAAAGCTAAAAGAACTTCATTAGTGTGAAGAGTTTATGGTCCCTTTGTGGTCTAAAAATGTTTTACAACCACTGAAAGATGATATCTAAAAAAAAAATCCTTCAAGATCAATATAAAAAGCAACTTGCACAACAAATGCATGGGAAAAAAAAGCTGCTGGGTCATGGAGTATATTTGGTCAGCCCTACTGTCAGTTGCTGTTGCTTAGCAACAGTACGACCATGCCCACTTAAGCATGTCAATATCAAAACAATAGACATTCTGTCAATGAACAAGTAACTACGCATCTGTTATGAAAGTGTTACAGAAGAAGTGCTGCAGAGGTTGTATTTTCTGTATACTACATCAGTGAGAAACAGTGTTTTAAAGTAGCAATGACACGATAAAATTATTTAGTGCGTCATATTTTTATGAAACATACACAACTGGGCAGCCTTTCGAAAATATTATGAAACCAGATCTAAGTACACAAGGTTTTTCTCAATTTCTTGAATGTAAATATTACCAAGACTGACTGAGGTTTGATCTAACAGGATGAATCCAACTTCACCAGTTCACCAATTCATTACCTCTATCAGACCCATTTTACTCAGAACTGAGCCTCACTGTACTCAATAAAGGTGCGAGAGAGCCCATGCTGTTGTGTTTGAACTGATTGAAATCAGTATATTAATTAGAAAACCACACACCTAGGATTCTAATATCAGTAAGGATTCAAATCACACTTTTCCCTCCTCAATTAGCTATCAGCAGCTGCTCTCTAACTTAATAGCGCTCTTATCTAGCCCCATAGAAAGGTCAAGCCTACTGGGGGAATTGTAGTGAATGGCTGGCTAACATTTGGTACTTAGTGTGTGTCTAAGAAACTTGTGTGTGAGTGTGTCTAAAAGTATGTTAAGTTAATGTGCATCTGAAGGGCAACACATTTCTTGTGTGTATGATGGTGCTGAAAAATGTGGGATGAATTATGGTGAAGGACATTCATTCGCAAAGCAGTTGTACAGTTCCTAATTGGGGTCAGTCCCTTTCACCAGCACCTTTTTTTAAGTTGGTAAAAATACCCGTGTGCCTTCCATATGAACGAAACTCATCTGTCATCAAGATCTTTAAACTCACATCCATTATTTTAATGATGTGAATAAAACAAAAGGACTTTCAAAAGTTTTTATTCCCATTTTAGGACTAACTATTAGTACAGCACATCCAAAAGTTTTACTCAACACTTCATCCTTCCATTTATTCTCATTAATTTATTAATGTGTCATATTGCATTACAACTTCGGCCTTTTGAAAATAAAGAGCATGCACTCCTCTGGTAATATTTGCACATGATTTAACACAGCCACTGATTTCAGCCACACATATTCCTTAGAGGTGCAACAATACTCGTATCGATATTGAACCGTTCGATACAGTGCTTTCGGTTCGGTACGCATGTGTATCGAACAATACAAAATTTTTAATTTATTTGATCAACTTTTCTTCTGACGATGCTGTCTGTGTTGAGCGCTCAGTGGATCTGCGCTCGACAGTGCAGCCTAGGCGTAGTAGCCGAACGCAGTGACGCACTGACCGCAGGGCAAGCTAGCGAGACAGAGCTCTCGTTGCAACATGGCAAATTGAACCTCCCCCACCCTCATTCAGATCTGGTGTTTGGAACTATTTTGGTTTTCATGAGATGTATGACCCTGAAGGTAAGCGCGTCATGGACTAAAGTAAAACAGTATGTTGGATGTGCCACGCAATGCTCAATTACATGGGTGGGAACTAGTGCGTTAGCGCAGTTTGCTCATTAACGTGTTGACGCCGTCCAGCCCCACGCACGTGGCGATCCACCATAGCTCGTTAATGGAGATTTGCCGTGTTGTGGCGTTAACGTCATTTCAACAAGATTAACGCTGACAGCACTAGTGGGAACACAACGAATATGACTGCACATTTACGCCGACATCATCCTAGTGCAAAGACAAGTGGAAGCAGACAAAAACAACAAGCACGCATGCTACAAACTTTATCCGAGTCATTTAGACAGCCGTTAGCACATGATTCTCCTTATGGGGACCTGATATGTTTAATATTCTGCTGAGAATATAGCCCAGAAGAAGCGTGTAGTATAGCTTTTATTTTGGAAAGAGCCATTTCTCTGTAACAAACTCTCTTTTCCAAAGATGAGTGATTTCTCGATCATATAGATTTATTTTTTTATTACTTTCAGCAACATTAAATTTAAAAACTGTACTTTTGAGTTAAAACATATATTTATAATTTTAATAAATGACAAAGTAAAAAGGCATGAACATTTTTTTCTATCGAAAAAATATCGAACCGTGACACCAAAGTATCGAACTGAACGGAACTGTGAATTTTGTGTATCGTTGCACCCCTAATATTCATTGTTGTCCCTGTCGAAGCACATGAGAAAAAGACACTAACTTGTACCTTCTGAGCACGCCGTTTATCTGCTCTCTGGTTCTGGTGGTAGATGCGGCTGAAGTTGGAGACAATGACAGGGACGGGCAGAGCGATCACCAGGACGCCACTCAGGGAGCAGATGGAGCCAAAGATCTTTCCAGCAATTGTCTTTGGCACCATGTCCCCATACCTACAAAAGGAGATAAATGAGAAAGGTTAGGAAAAAGATGAACGTTGATGCATAGTTTCAAATGCACTTTACTGTGTAATTATATGCACCTGTTTTAATGTGTTTCGAATATGTGCATGAAGAAACGAGAAAAAAAGAAAGAAAAGAAAACACTTTGTATAAAAAGTCCTTGCTCGTTGACTGATGTGAAAAAAAGCTGGCATATTAAAAGAAAGGCTATAGTTTTTGAATACACTTGATATTGTGGTGCTTGCTTCTGCTACTGTAGACAAAGCAGCAATTCACACTGCCTGCCACTCATCAGAAAGGTCAAAAAATACAGAATAAACACTGCAGTGTAAAACTGTAAGGACTCCCCTTTAAAGTCTGGACTTTTGTTACACATCACTATAGCAGAAGCAAAACTGAAACAAGGCACATGAGACGAGGGACTGACAAAATAAAACAGGAAGTAGCACGCATACGACATGCAAGCGTAAAATCTGTGAGATATATATATATATACAGTCCTGTTCCCAGGACTGCGCTCTTCTGGACAGAGATCTCCGATGTTATTCCCGGGATCTGCTGGAGCCACTCGCCTAGCTTGGGAGTCACCGCTAGGCGAGTGGCTCCAGCAGATCCCGGGAATAACATAGGAGATCTCTGTCCAGATATATAAGATATATATATATATACACACACACACACACACATATATATATATATATATATATATATATATATATATATATATATATATATATATATACATATATCACTGACTTTCAGCTTGTTGTGTTTGTGGATATATGACTGACTTTAATTATTAAACAAATAAGTGACGTCATATTCAGTACTTTTGACAGTTCACTCTTCGGCCGCTCCATCTCATTAGGGAAATTCCATATACATAAATTTCAAAACTCAACCCCATCATTTAATTTGCTTTTGATTGAAATTAAATATTACTTAAACTCTCTTAAATTAACTTCCAATAAAAAAGGTTTATCATTGATTGAAGTTAATTCAGAAATGTTTAAGGAATGAGCTGTCACAACTTTCAAGTACAAAGTTGTTATGAAGTCTGTCACATTCCCCCCCTTTTTTTTCTTTTTTTATCCTTTATTTATTTATCCTTCTTATTCCATTGTACTGTATATTGTTACTCTTATTTGCCTTGTATGTCTACTGTACAAACTGAACTGGAATGACTGACTGTTCGCGTTATAAGTTCAATAAAGTTTGGAAAAAAAAACAAAAAACCCCTCTTCGGCTGCTCCCTTCTGCCGTATTTTGCGGCAAAATTATCCACACCCACCGCCGCACTATGAATTGTGGGATATATGGGACCAAGAAGCGTGCACCGGACCACGCTTGATATTTGGGGAAATCGACGGCGCATTTGGAGTATGCATTTGAAGTACACTTCGAATTGGGACAGCCGTCGTCGCGTGGCGGTGACGTAACCGCACTTGAAATGCGTACTTCAAGTGTGCAGACCCTGAATTGGGACACAGCCATGGAAACAATAGATTTAACATGGAAGATGTTGAGGACAAAACATAAAGACAGGTGTAAGAAAACAGGAGGAAATCACTAAACAAGAAACACAGAGACAGGACTAAGGGAACAGGAAAATAAACTGATGACTGATGACCTAAAGTAAGTAAAAAAGAAAACCCAACATAATAACATCCAGAAATAGGCCCAGTTCTCAAACTCAAAATGAATTTAGCAAAATTAAAAAGTCTAAAACACAGAACACAGGATGTAACCATGACAGTTGCATCCTGTCAACGAACTTAATGAAGGCCAAGTTTTTTTTTATGATAGTAAATAAATAAGCAAATTGATTTTCTATTTTCCATTTTGTTTCTTAAAGAAATTTGCTCACAACTGAATTATGCGCCTTGAATGCAGTGCAATTACTGGCTCCGCATTGCAATTCTCAACCTTGAAAATTTAATTGTTAAGACAAGCGCCAGAAACATTCTTGTCATGCTGTTATTAAAGTGGGATATATGCTTTAAACACACAACTGATATCACCTTTTAAGATGCAGTGATGTATTGAAACATGGGCAAACATAATTTGAAACAGAATATAAGACAAAAACAAAGTCTGTACAATTCCAATAAGCTTGAAAGTCAGTATTTGGTATGACCAGCTTTGTTCTTCAACACAACTTTCTTCGGGAAAAGTTCTCCAGGCTTCTTGAAGGACATTTGAAGCTCTTCTTTGGATATTGGCTGTCTTTTGGTCTGTTCTCTCTAAATCACTGTTAAATATTATATATAATGTTGGGGTCCGGGCTCTCAGGAGGCCAGTGCATGAATGGTAGTGCTCCATGTGTGTGTTTTCTCTCCAGACACTCTATGCTTTTAAGGGATAGGCAGTGTTGGGGATCATTGTCATGCTGAAAAATTAAGTTTTCTCTAATCCAGCATTTTCCACATGGAATTCCATGGTGGATCAAAATCTGACAGCACTTTTCTCTGTTCATAATTTCATCAGTTTTGATAAGATCCCCACCATTTGCTGAAATGCAGATTCTATCTGTTATAGATAGCCGTAGACACTGACCTCGGGACGTATTGACAGTGACTTGAACCACAAATTAAAATTTTAGATTCATCACTCCACAAGACATGTTCACACTGATTTTTTTTTTGTCTTGCTCGTGAGTAATTTGGCATTTCCTCTTTTTTCCCCTCAACAATGGTTTCTTCTGGCTTCGGAGATTAGTCAGAACAGCAGTATAACAGCGAGTGTTTTCAAAGCCATCCACACAGTTCAAATCCACTCGCTGCTGAGACCTTCTCTGTGGCGGCTAGCTGTTCTCCCTGTGCCTTTATGGGTTCCCCCCAGGTATTCTGGCTTCACACTTCAACATGGATGTTAGGTTAAATGATAAATTAACCATAGGTGCAATGTTCCCTCTAAGCTGCGCACGTGCGCAATTGCGCACCCCTGGCACAGTCTCTGCGCACAGAAAATCTGCGTTGCGCACAAAAAAAATCTAACCTGAATTGAAATTAAAATTAATACTTTAACAATTCTGTTTTGCAGTGTTAGTCAGTAAGTGACTGGCTGCTCCCGTATGGGATTAGAACGATGCCACCTTATCCCATAGTCCAGCCAATAATGCGATTCACATTCGTATATACGCAGCTAATCAACGTGGTTGACAGGCTATGACAGACTGATGTCGCTCACAGTGGTCCAAGGGATCGCTCAGGGAGTTTGTGTGTTCGCTCAGACACATGAAAAATTAGAGGAACATTGCATAGGTGTGAACGTCTGTCTCCCTGTTAACTCTGTGATAGATTAGTAACCTGTCAAGGGTGTACCCTGGCTTTTACCCTATGACACCTAGGATAGGCTCCAGCCCCGTCATAACCCTGAACTGAATATGGGGAAGAAAATGGATGGAAAATGTAATCAGTGGGCATTCCATTAGTATGTAAATGACCTTGAGAAAAAAAGTAAATCTAAGAACTAACGGGAAAGACAAGTTAAAGTATATGAGCTACAGCTAATTTTAAAGCTAAATAAACCTAGAATACCTCAAGTAAAAATAAATCAATTCAGCTATAATTATGAAAAATCTGCTTTTGTCATATGTTAAAAATAACACAACCAGTGCTAGCTAAAAGTCCTTAATCACATCATTGTTGCTGCTCTGAACCTTAACCCTGTCCTTGGCCACAAAATGAGTGGAAACAACATCACATGCATGCAGGAACATTAATTATTTCTGTCTTTACACTCCTCAATTTTCAGATAAATTATAAATACTTTTTATTAAATGAAAAAAGTACAAGAGTACTGAGCTCTGTACAGCTAAAGGGAAATTAAAAGTCAATTGTTCTTTGTTGGTTCATTGCTTCTGGTCTAGGTATTTATTACTGATTTACTACATCAATAATATGCAGTTATATAATTTTGGACATAGCATTGTACAGAAATCTTTGCTTCTTCTCCTTTCTTTGTTCCCTATTTTAATGCCTGTTGTCGTCTGCTTCTTTTGGGCCCCTGATAATTTGATTACACAGGTGAATGACTGCTGTGACAGGTGGACAGAAGCAGAAAGATAGGACCAGTGCTATCTATGTGGCTCAGACCAGGCATAACAAAGCCTTGCCAGTGGGCTCTGAGGCGAGGAAGAAGCCAAGGTGTACTCTCTGGTGAATGCTGTGAGCCATGATGGCATTTGGGGCAACAAATTGATTTAATAACGGACTTCCAGGACGTGCTTGTAAGTTGGCGAGAAGAGACACAAAATCATCACCTGGAGAGGATACTTACATCGACTTTAAGTACTGTGACATGAAACGATGTTCACCAGTGTTTGCTTGTGCACTTTTTTGTGTAAGAAGAAAACAGAGAGGACTATGCTGCATATAGTACCTCTGACTTTGGTCAACCCATTTACATAAGAGTCACTTAAAAAAGGCTCAAGAACTGAGTTGATTTTAATCCTCTAGGCTTCACTGGAACACTTGCACTTGTCAAAAGACCCTTTTTGCCTCCTCTCTGACTGTTTGGCCTCTTTGGCTCCAGAGTTTCCTCTCCACTGCGTTCTCGACACCAAGAGACCTATGACAGGTAAGACCCATGCACTGTTGACCACTGGGCCTCTTGAGGGATGCTCTCCAACTTTCTGACTCTTGTTTTTTTGACCTAAAGCTTCCACCGTGGCCTGCTCTCCTTCCCGAAGAGCAGTATAATACCAGTCTTACCCACCTCCTGCTCGCACAGAATGAAGAGATGAGGGATTATCACAAACGCAGCCGTCCGCTCTGCCTGAGTCAATGCGCGCAGGTAGGGAAGAATATGTTTCTCAAATCGTAATTCAAAATGACTTTCCATTTTTGTTCTCTACACAGTAAAGACGAGGACAGATGATTCAGACCAGAAATAACAGAAGTAATGTCAGATATAATGAAAAAAAGAATTGAACAGACTGCTTTTTATTAACCACACTGAAATAAATTGGGAAAAATAAAGTCAATGTA